TATTAATGGACAGATCTTCGAGACAAAAAAATCAATAAAACAACAGAGATCCTAAACGATAGAACAGTTAGACTTAATTGATACATTCAGGACATTACATCCAAAAAAAGCAGAATACACATTCTTTTCAAGTGCACATGGAACATTCTCTAGGGTTGACTTGGGCACAAAATAAGCCTAAACAAATTTAAGAGTAAAGAAATTATTTCAAGCATCTTTTCTGACCACAATAGCATGAAACCAAAAATCAACCACTGAAAAAGAAACAAAAACAAAACAAAACAAAAAGCAATTAGGTGGAGACTAAACAACATGCTACTAAAAAAACCAATGGATCAACAATGAAAGCAAAGAAGAAATTTAACAATACCTTGAGCAAATGACAATGAAAACACAACCATACAAAATCCATGGGATGCAGCAAAAGCAGTTCTCAGAAGGAAGTTCATAGCAATATAGGGGCCTTCTTTAAGAAACAAGAAAAATCTCAAATAAACACCATAATCCACCACCTAAAAGAATTAGAAAAAAAAGAACAAACAAAACCTAAAGTCAGCAGAAGGAAGGAGATAAGAAAGATCAGAGAGGAAATAAATAAAATAGAACTTAAAAAAACAATGGAAAAAAATCAATAAAACCAAGAGATGGTTCTTTGAACAGGTAAACAAAATTGACAAACCTCTGGTCACACTCGACAAGAAGAAAAGAGAGAAGACCCAAATAAACAAAATAAGAAGTGAAAGCAGAGAAATCACAACAGATATCACAGAAGTGCAACAAACCATAAAAGAATACTGTGAACAATTATACGCCAACAAATTTGACAACCTTGAAGAAATGTTCTACTTTCCTACAAACATACAGGCCACCAAAACTGAATCAAGAAGAAACAGATAACTTGAGCAGACCAGTCACTAGAAATGAAATAGAATCTGTAATAAAAAAAAATCCCTACAAATGAAAGTCCAGGACCAAATGGCTTCACTGGGGAATTCTACCAAACATACAAAGAAGGACTTATAGTAATCATTCTCAAACTCTTCCAAAACACTGAAGAGGAAGGAACACTCCCAGTGGGGTGACATTCTATGAAGCCACAGTCACCTGGATACCAAAACCAGACAAAGACACTACAAAAAAAGAAAATTACAGGCGAATATCTTTTTTTTCCTTTGGAAATGTTCTCTCTTTTTTTATATTTTTATTTAGTTAGTTATTTATTTGCGGCTGCGTTCGGTCTTCATTTCTGTGCGAGGGCTTTCTCTAGTTGTGGCAAGTGGGGGCCACTCTTCATCACAGTGCGCGGGCCTCTCTCACTATCGTGGCCTCTCCTGTTGCGGAGCACAGGCTCCAGATGCGCAGGCTGAGTAGTTGTGGCTCACGGGCTTAGTTGCTCCGCAGCATGTGGGATCATCCCAGACCAGGGCTCGAACCCGTGTCCCCTGCATTAGCAGGCAGATTCTCAACCACTGAGCCACCAGGGAAGCCCCTAGGCGAATATCTTTGATAAATGTAGACACAAAAATTCTCAACAAAATATTAGCAAATCAAATCCAAAAACACATAAAAAAGGTCATACACCACAACCAAGTTGGATTCACCCCACGGTCACAAGGATGGTTCAACATACTCAAATCAGTATGTGGGACTTCCCTGGTGGTGCAGTGGTTGAGAATCCACCTGCCAATGCAGGGGACACAGGTTCGAGCCCTGGTCCGGGAAGATCCCACATGCTGCAGAGCAACTAAACCCACACACCACAACTACTGAGCCTGTGCGCCACAACTACTGAAGCCGGCATGCCTAGAGCCAATGAAGTTAGAACACACCCTCACACCATACACAAAAATAAACTCAAAATGGCTTAAAGAATTAAATAAAAGACAAGACACCATAAAGCTCTTAGAAGAAAACACAGGCAAAACACTCTCTGACATAAATTGTACCAATGTTTTCTTAGGTCAGTCTCCCAAGGCAATAGAAATAAAAGCAAAAATTTAAAAATGGAACCTAATCAAACTTACAAGCTTTTGCACAACAAAGGAAACCATAAATAAAACCAAAAGATAACCTATGGACTGGGAGAAAATATTTGCAAATGATGCGACGGACAAGGGCTTAATTACCAAAATATACTAACAGCTCATACAACCAAACAACAAAACAACCCAATCCAAAAATGGGCAGAAGACCTAAACAGACATTTCTCCAAAGAAGACATACAGACATGAAAAGATGATCAACAGCACTAATTATTAGAGAAATAAAAATCAAACCTACAATGAGGTACCACCTCACACTGGTCAGAGTAGCCATCATTAAAAAGTCTACAAATAACAGGGCTTCCCTAGTGGTGCAGTGGTTGAGAGTCTGCCTGCCGATGCAGGGGACACGGGTTCGTGCCCCGGTCCGGGAAGATCTCACATGCCGCGGAGCGACTGGGCCCGTGAGCCATGGCCGCTGAGCCTGCGCGTCCGGAGCCTGTGCTCTGCAACGGGAGAGGCCACAGCAGTGAGGGGCCCGCGTACTGCAAAAAAAAAAAAAAAAAAAAAACTCTACAAATAACAAATGCTGGAGAGGGTGTGGAGAAGAGGGAACCTTCCTACACTGCTGGTGGGAATGTAAATTGGTACAGCCACTATGGGAAACAGTATGTTGGTGCGTGCATGTGCGCTCGTGCGCGCACGCGCGCGCGCACACACACACACACACACACTGGAATATTACTTGGCCATAAAAAAATGAAATAAAGCCATTTGCAACAACATGGGTGAACCCAGAGATTATCGTACTAAGTGAAGTAAGTCAGAAAGGGAAAGACAAATACCACATGATATTACTTATATGTGGAATCTAAGATCTGGCACACATCAGCATAACTATGAAACAACAACAGACTCAGATATAGAGAACAGATTTGTGGTTGCCAAGGGTAAGGCGGGATGGGGGAGGGACAGATTGGGAGTTTGGGATTAGCAGAGGCAAACTATTAATATGTAGCATGGATAAACAACAAGGTCCTATTATATAGTACAGGGAACTATATTCAATACCCTGTGACCAACCATAATGGAAAAGAATATGAAAAATATATATGTATAACTGAGTCACTTTGCTGTACAGAAGAAATTAACACAATATTATAAATCAACTATACTTCAGTACAATTTAAAAAAACAATTAAGTGATCACAGTGTTGCATTTGAATCTTAAAAACAAAAATCAACTGTTAAGAAAAAAAATGTATGGGAAAACTGAGGAAAGTGAATACTAATCTGATACTTGATAACATTTAGTAATTATTGTAATTATTTCAGGTGTGATAATAGTATTGCAATTATGTTAAAAAAACAAAGAATCCTTATTTTTTTAGGGATACATAGAGAAGAATTATAGATGAAATAATTTGATGTCTGAGATTTGCCTCAAAATACTACAGTTGGGAGATTTAAATGAAATAGGATTGGATGGGGAATTCCCTGGCGGTCCAGTGGTTAGGACTCAGCACTTTCACTGCCGTGGCCTGGGTTCAATCCCTGGTTGGGGAACTAAGATCCCACAAGCCACGCAGCGCAGCCAAAAAATAATAATAATAATAAATAATAAATAAAACTTTCTTTAAAAAAAAGAAGATTGCACATGTGTTTAAAATTGTTGGGACCTCCCTGGTGGCGCAGTGGTTAAGAATCTACCTGCCAAAAAAAAAAAAAAAAAAAAAAAAAAACTCCCTCCAAATTTTCACAACATAGCTGAAACGTATATTACTCATGGAGCAACTAAGCCCGTGAACCACAACTACTGAGGCTGCGTGCCACAATTACTGAAGCCTGTGTGCCTAGAGCCCATGCTCCACAGCAAGAGAAGCCACCATAATGAGAAGCCCCCGCACTGCAACAAAGAGTAGCCCCCGCTCGCCGCAACTAGAGAAAGCCCGTGCGTAGCAACGAAGATCCAACACAGCCAAAAATAACTAATTAATTTAAAAAAAACTGTTGAAGGTACATGATGAGGTTCATTATACTATCATCTCAATATTTGAATATGTTTTAAGTTATCTATAATAAAACACTTTAAAAAAAGAGAATATGTGTAATTGCTTATACATACATAGAATAGCTCTGGATATATACATATATACATTAAAAATATATAATACTATTTCCCACTGGGAAGGAGAATTGGATGGAAGAGGACATACGGTAGAAGGGAGGCTCTTCACTTAATATCTTTTTCAAAAGTAAATTCTAGAGTAAAAAGATATCAGCAACAGCTCAACATTACTGGAGTTCAATGGATATACTTCTTTAAATAATCATTTTTTTGAAAGAAAAATATATATTTTAAAATATCCATTTTTTTGTGACAGAAATAAATGTAAGCCCTGTTTTACCGATGACCCTTTGAGTTCAGCTCAGAGTCTCAATTCCACAGGGAGTCAGGAGTAGAAGAACTGAAAACACTCTTGAATTTCTTATCCTTGATTCAGTCCTGAGTAACACTCACTTTTACTTATAACTTTGTGCCACTTAATACAGCAGCAGATTTGATCACATAAAAGGAACAACCAAAGAAAGTGTACTCCTGGAAACTGTATTTAGTAGCCTCTCGGTTCAATCCAATCCAACCAACAGCAGGAGCCAGGCATTCTACCTCTCACTGGTAGTCAGCCAGGTGAAATGAAGAAACTTGACATTTAAGGGAGACAGAGAAAAACTCTTTGTGAATAGAGGTGATATGACCAGGGCTTTGGCTTTGTAAGCGCTCCTGGGACAACACAACTGTCATTTATCAGTTCCACTGGTTTCTAACATATTACTTTGCAGGGCAGCTGACATATTGCTAGGTTTAAATCCTGCACGGTCTAAAACGGTTTGGTAAGTTAAGTTTAGGTAGGTTTGCTTAGAGATGCACGCATTCCTCCACAGATACAATGCATTCCAGCCTTTTACCATGGTTCATGTATATGATGAGTTAAGAACGAAATGAAAGCTGCCACCCACCTTGATTCTTGTCATCTGGGTCAGGGTCCGATTTCAGTCTTTTCACACTGTTGCCACTCTCTGAGCTGTAACAAAAAAATATGGTGATTTGAGCTAGGTCCAATCTTGGGGATCAAACTTTGGGAATCAGGAGCTCCAGTAACTATTTATATGGGTCTTAGGCAGCCTCAAGGGGCTGAGATGATCTGAAATGAAAAGTCTTCATTTCAGGTTTTTAATCTCCTTCCAGCTATATTATTGTTATAAATATAATTTAAACCTCTGACCAAATTCAAGGGGTGAAGCATTACAGCTTCAAGCATCACCAAAACATCAGATTCTTTGTTGTCATCATTCATCTTGGTTAGAACCACAGATGGACTTCAAGAATATCTGGACATATATGACAAAAATTTAGTTATTAAAGATTGAAGGAAATATCTTTAGTGACAGGCTAGAGATTCTAAAAGTCACCCAAAAGACCTTCACTAAAAGAATATCTAGAGAATGTACTTCTCTCGCCATGCAGCTAGAAGACACAATGCTCTCCAGCTCCACTGTTACCACTAATATTAAGTAATGTTTGTAAATTCTTACCTGATAAAAAATTTAGGACAGTCAAAAAAAAGAGAAAAAAGAATGCACTCCAAAGAGGAAGGAAATGGTGCCAGGAGGAAGGCCTTAATCCCAGAAGGAAGGGATGGTGAACAAAGAAACTTGTAAATAAAAATCTAAACAAACAGTCTATATATAAAAACAGCATCTAATTTGTGGTGTTAAACATGACCATGCTAAAGTCCTGGACAGCATGTAAGGAAGGAAGAACGTGACTGTAGCTAAAAGTTCTAAGGTCCATGGATAATTTTTCAGGGAAGTAAGATAGCTATTTACTTTAGGTTTTACTAAGTATTCTTGATAAATTGCAAGGTAAGCCACCAAACGAATAGAAATAGAATACAAAAATCCAAACAAGTAGAAAGAAAAGAAAATGAATAAAAGATTTTAAAACTGTAATCAATTTTTATAAAAAGAATACATAGAAAAAAAATTTTAAGTAAAAAGACAAATAACATTAAGATAGTAGAAGCTGGGGAGTCCCCTGGTGACCTAATGGTTAGGATTCTAGGCTTTCACTGCCACGGCCCAGGTTCAATCCTTGGTTGGGGAACTGAGATCCCGCAAGCCATGTGGCATGGCCCAAAAATTAATTAATTAATTAAAAAAAAAGATAGTAGAAATTGTATAAAAAATCCTATTAAGTCCAAGCCTACCTATAGAGTTTAACAGACTAAATTTTAAATCAGCTATTCATGAGACACACCTAAAAATTTAGAAGCAAAACAAACAACTTAAGACCCAGAAAGACTGAAAAGTAAAGGAATGGAAAAAGAGTTAACCACGGCAAACACTAACCCAAAGAAGACTGGGGTACCTATACTAAGGAAATAGACTTTAAGACCGAAAGTATTATAAGGGATAAAGGAGGTTAGTTTATAAGGAAACAAAGTTTAATTCACTATGAAGAAAGAACAATCCTGAACATCTATGCTTCTAAAGAGCTTAAAAATATACTATGTTCAACAGACTGAAGAAAAATCAAGAAATCATTACTATAGTGGGAGATTTCAAAAACTCCCCTCAAGTACTGATAGAACAAGCAGACAAATATGTAAAGAAACAGATGATTTGAACAATACAATCAGTTTGTTTTGTTGTACCTACATAGAGCCCGGAACAAACAATTACAAAACACAGATTCTCCTCAACTTGGAACATTCACAAAAATTAATCTCAGGAATAGGTCACAAAGCTAGTCTAAAGCAATTTCAAAAGAATCAGCACATATAAAGCATAATGCAATTAAGGGAAAAATTGATAACAAAAGATAAAGATTATATTTCATAGACTCTAAGACACCACTGATTATAAGGTATTAAAATGTGAGGGAGAAACAGGTTCATCTTAGAACCAGTGAAATATGGTTAAGTTACCTCAATATGTTTGGAAATTTAAAAAAATGTTCCTAATTCATGAGTCAACAAAGAAATCATAATGGATATTTAAAAGTACTTAGTTGGAAATACAAAATTGTATACAATGAAAGCTGAGGAAAAATTATAGCTTTAGATGCTTATAACTGAAATGAGCTGAAAATTAATTAGCTTGGTAACTGACAGTTATTTAAAACAGAAATAATAAAAGTATAAGTTTGAAGAAAGTAAAGAATATTCCAAAGAAGGTAGAAGATATTAAAGAGCAAAAATTAATAAAACAGAAAAAATAAGAAGTAAACCCAAAAGATCTTTTATTTTTTTATTTTTTATTTATTTATTTTTTTTTTGCAGTACGCAGGCCTCTCTCACTGTTGTGGCCTCTCCCGTTGCAGAGCACAGGCTCCGGAAGCACAGGCTCAGCGGCCATGGCTCATGGGCCCAGCCGCTCTGCGGCATATGGGATCTTCCTGGACCGGGGCACGAACCCGTGTTCCCTGCATCGGCAGGCGAACTCTCAACCACTGCGCCACCAGGGAAGCCCAACCCAAAAGATCTTTGAAAAGACTAATAAAACTGAGACTACCCTCTCATGAAAATAGTGAAAATAAGAATAAAAGTATAATTCATCAATATTTGGGATGAAAAAAGGACAATTACAGACAGAACAGCAATCAGAAAAATAAGGAATACTGACAATTTAGCTAACACATTTGAAAAAAGACAAAATGAGCGAATTCCCAGAAAATATAACTAAATAAAACTGACTCAAAAAGACATGGAAAAACAGGGCTTCCCTGGTGGCTCAGTGGTTGAGAGTCCGCCTGCTGATGCAGGGGACATGAGTTTGTGCCCCGATCCGGGAGGATCCCACATGCCGTGGAGCGGCTGGGCCCATGAGCCATGGCTGCTGAGCCTGCGCGTCCAGAGCCTGTGCTCCGCAATGGGAGAGGCCACACAACAGTGAGAGGCCTGCGTACCGCAAAAAATTTAAAAAAAAAAAAAAAAAGAACAGGGACCAAAGTGATTTTATAGAGTTCTACCAAACTGCCACAAATTAACACTACTATCCTATAAAAACTCCTCCAGAAAACAGAAAAAGAAGGAACACTCCCTAAATCATTCTGTGAAGCTAGGTTTAATCTACACATCAAAATCAGATAAAGTAGGGGAAAAAAAAAATACAGACCAGTCTCCATCATGATTCCAGATGCAACAACCTATACAAAACATTAGCAAACCAAATCCAGCAGAGTTTAAAAAAAAAAAAGAAAGGAAAGAAAATACATCACTACAAGTTGGGTTTATCACCAGGAATGAAACATTAGAAAAATCTTTATATTTTCACTGTAACAGTAAAAAAGAAAAATTTATTTTATCAACTCAAAAGCACAAAAAAATTGACAAAATTTAACAACTCATGGCTACCAAAAAAACCTCTTGTGAAACTAGGAACAGAACTTCCTTAACCTTAAAGGAAATCTGAAAAAACAAAAACAATGAATGTTATTCTTAGTGGTGAAAAAGTTAAACATTCTGTTTAAAATTAGAAATAAAACAAGGATGTGCACAGTAATTGTTTCTTTCTAACATTTTACTGGTGGTCCCAGCCAGCACAATAAGAAAAAGGAACTAAAAGGTATTAAGGAAGAGAATAAAACTGTCATTATGCACAAATGGTGACTCTCTACATAGAAATTTCAAAGAATCCACTGATAAGTTATTAAAGTTAATAAGAGTTATTATTAAAGTTAATAAGAATTTGCGTGGCTGGATGTAAATATCCCAAAATCAACTGCATTTTTATATACCAGCAACCAAAAAAATATAAAATACCTAGGAATATGGGCTTCCCTGGTGGCGCAGTGGTTGAGAGTCCGCCTGCCGATACAGGGGACACAGGTTCGTGCCCTGGTCTGGGAAGATCCCACATGCCGCGGAGCAGCTGGGCCCGTGAGCCATGGCCGCTGAGCCTGCGCGTCCGGAGCCTGTGCTCCGCAGTGGGAGAGGCCACAACAGTGAGAGGCCCACGTACCACAAAAAAAAAAAAAAAACCTAGGAATAAATCTAACAAAAGACATGTACAACTTTTTTGGGGAAAAAAAACAACAAAACTCTATAACTTTATTGGATGACTTTAATTAAAGGAGACAAATAAATGTAGATATATGCCATGGATAGAGAAAGACTCAAATCCATAAAGATCTGTTCTCTCCATAAATTTATCAAGCAATTTAATAACATTCCAATAAAAATCCCAATAGGGATTATTAAAGAATTTAAACTAAAACTAAAATTTATATGGAAGAATGAAGTGGCCAAGAATAGACAAGACACCCTGAGAAGAATGTAAGGGGACTTGCTCTACCAGATATCAATATCTGTACAAAGCTACAGTAATTACACAGAGTGATACTGGTCCAACAGATCCTAGGAACAGAAAAAAGAATCCACAGACAAACCCGTATAGGTATGGAAACTTGTTATAAGACAGAGGTGACACTGAAGATCACTGAGGAAAGGCAGAAATATTTAGTAAATTGCTAGAAAACTGGCTTTTCATTTGAAGAAAAAATTGCAATGTGATCCCTACCTCATACCCTTCACAAAAATCAATTCCAGATAGATTAAAGACTAACGTGAAAGACAAAAATTCTAAAACTTTTACAAGAAAAACTATATTACGACCTCAGGGTAGAAAGAATTTCTTGAACAAAATATAAAAGGCTCTAACCATAAAAAGAAAATATTAATGGATTTGACCACCTTAAAATGGACCACCTTCAAAAGGTACAAACTTCCAGTTATAAAATAAATAAGTACTGAGGATGTAGTGTACATCATGGTGACTATAGTTAATGATGTTATATTGTATATTTGAAAGTTGCTAAGAAAACAGATCTTAGAAGTTCTCATCACAAGAAAAAAAAATGTGTAACTGTGTGTGGTGATGGATGTCAACTAGGCTTACTATGGGGATCATTTCACTATATATATATGTATATATATCTCATTATTATCAAATCATTATGTTGTACACTTGAAATTAATGTGTTATATGTCAATTATATCTCAATTTTTAAAAACTGACCACCTTAAAATTAAATATATTTGACCACTTTAAAGTAAAAAGATAAGCTATAAACTGGAGAAAAAAAATATCAAGACTACGTTTAAAAACAAACAAACAAAACCTATGAATCAATAAGAATACAAATAACCCAGTAGAAAAACGGCAATATAAACGAACAGACCTTCCCACAACAGGACACATGAATGGCAAATCAACATATGATATGTCAACTACATTTGTTAACAGGGGAATGCAAATTAAGACCATAAGGAGATACTAGTTTATAAATCACTTTATTGCTGTATTTGTGCTGTCCAGTAGGGCAGCAACAAGCCACATGTAGCTATTTAACACTTAAAATGTGACTAGTGTGGGGCTTCCCTGGTGGCGCAGTGGTTGAGAGTCTGCCTGCCAATTAAGGGGACACGGGTTCGAGCCCTGGTCTGGGAAGATCCTACATGCCGCGGAGCAACTAGACCCGTGAGCCACAACTACTGAGCCTGCACGTCTGGAGCCTGTGCTCCGCAACAAGAGAGGCCACAACAGTGAGAGACCCGCGCACCACGATGAAGAGTGGCCCCCACTCGCTGCAACTGGAGAAAGCCCTCGAACAGAAACGAAGACCCAACACAGCCAAAAATAATAAAAATAAATAAATAAATAAAATGTGACTAGTGTGGCTAGGGAACTGGATTTTAAATTTCATTTAGTTTTCATTAATTTAGATAGCCACAGGTGCCCAAGGACTAACATACTGGACACACAGCTCTAGAGAAACAGATGTACATATGTAACAAAGCATGTCCTTGACCTGTCAGCACCGTCTGTCATAATTCAAACATTCATTCACAGGAGAATGAACAAATTTTGGTATCTCAAATAATGCACTATTATACAGCAGTGAAAGTGAATGAATTATAGCTATACATACACATACATACACACACACAAAACTGTTTCAATCAGAGAAACAATTTGATTGAAAAATCAAATTCACAGAAGGTGGTGTGTAATGAAATCTTTTTTTTTTTTTTTTTTTTGTGGTACGCGGGCCTCTCACCGCTGTGGCCCCTCCCGTCACGGAGCACAAGCTCTGGATGCGCAGGCCCAACGGCCATGGCTCACGGGCCCAGTCGCTCCGTGGCACGCGGGATCCTCCCTGGACTGGGGCACGAACCCGTGCCCCATGCATCGGCAGGCAGACCCCCAACCACTGCGCCACCAGGGAAGCCCATGAAATCTTTTTTTCAGATTATTTTCACATTTTTTTCTTACAGTCTTTTATTAAGTAGCTCTTATATACACTACATTCAGACATTAGAGTTATATCATCTAATATGGTTTCATACCATCTAACATGTTCACCAACTAGGTCTCTATATACCATTCCAAGATATTTTTGGTCTTCAGATTGTGGGATCTTCCCAGACCGGGGCACGAACCTGTGTCCCCTACATCGGCAGGCGGATTCTCAACCACTGCGCCACCAAGGAAGCCCTGAAATCATTTTTTATAAAGTTCAAAACAAGCAAGCTATTATATTATTTATGGGTACCTATATAGGTAGTAAAAAACAAACAAACAAAAAAAACCCCAAAACTACTAAGAGTAAAGAAAGGCGGGCTTCCTTGGTGGCGCAGTGGTTGAGGATCTGCCTGCTAATGCAGGGGACACAGGTTTGGGCCCTGGTCTGGGAGGATCCCACATGCCGTGGAGCAACTAGGCCCGTGAGCCACAACTACTGAGCCTGCGCATCTGGAGCCTGTGCTCCGCAACAAGAGAGGCCCACGCACCGCAATGAAGAGTGGCCCCTGCCTGCCACAACTAGAGAAAGCCCTCGCACAGAAACGAAGACCCAACACAGCAAAAATAAATTAATTAATTAATAAACTACTACCCCCAATACTGTCTTAAAAAAAAAGAGAGGCCAAAGAATGGTAAACTTGACATAGGAAAGTGGTGTGAGGATGTCAAGGCACAGAGACAGAATGGGGAGGAGCACAGAGGCAGACTCATATTGTTGATAATGCTCTAGGTCTTAAGTTGGGTGATGGGTTCAGGGGGTCTTGTTTTATTACTATGCTTCATAACATATATCAGGCATCAGACTTTCACCAAGCATCAGAATTATCCATGGAACTTTAAAAATTAGACTTCCAGACCTCACTCCAAACTTACTGAGCCAGACGGAATTAGTGTGAGGCAATCTACAGTATTAACAAACTCCCAGGTGACTCTAATAAACCCAAGGCTGGGTAGATTAGGAACTCCTGCCCCAGGAGACTAATTTATCACCTTGCTACACAAAACAACAATAAAGGATGATCTAATACAAGTTTATCTAAGGACTAGGAGAGCTACTTACAACACACATTCTGCTAGAAGCAAGACACTGCTGAGAGGTAACTAACTGACCGCCTAGAGAGCCCTTTCTTGGTATAGCCCAGTACAATTGACCCACATCCAAATCCTCAAAGACACTAGGCCAGCAAGAAAGCTTATATGAAAACTTGAAAGGAATAATTCATGGCTGGGGTAACTGGCCCTTTTCAGGCTACTGATATCCCTCCCCTTGGCTGCTATACCATGACGACATTTTTACATGTAAGCAACATTCCTAGCAATGTTTCCTGGGAACATCAGCAGACAGAAGGTGTGCCAAACCACAAAACTGCATCAACACATTTTCTTCAAAACATGTGGCTGGTCGCCAATATACTATATTGATTTTCCTAATAGTCTGCACTTAAGCTTAACATCCTTTTGCCTGTGGTAGGGTTGGTCAAATTGAAATGACCAGATTTAATCACTTTGGTGCCATTTCAAGACCTGAAAAGAGAGGAGCAAACAAGGCAGTGCTGCCACCCCACACCAAACAAGCAGAGCCCCAGCCAGGTGTGTAACCCTGTCACAGCTGCCATGTTCTTATAGATCATAGTGCCCTTGCCCCAGCTCTTCTCTCTTCCTGGGATGTTCTGCTTTCCCCGTCTGCCTGTCAAAGCCCTAGTTGTCTTACCTAATCAATCTCTTCTTTCTAGGTCTTAACTTCCCCAACATGAGCACATATATCCACCTCCAGACAGTTATTCCTCCTCCATGATCTAAGTACACCCTATATAAATCCTTCCATAGAACTTGCTACCTTGTTTGCCTAGAAACAGATGCTGAAGTACTGAACTCCACCTCTCCTACTACTTTGTGACCTTGGACAAAGGTTCTCAACCTCTGAGGTTCTCAGTCTCTTCATCTGATAATAACAACTTGTACTTCACAGACTTGTTGAGAGGAATAAAAGAAATCATGTATGGAAGGTACTTAACACAATGCCTGGCACATGGCATGCATCCAATGAAGAGTAGCTATTATGTTGAATGAACAGAGAGACAAGGGTCAAAGGCTATAGAAGACACCAAATCTGGTAGGGGAAAGAGAGGTAAGACCACCAAAGAAACTTCACCAAGACCTATGCTTAGGTAAACTTTTGTTCTGGCTACCATTAATCTGGCATTTCAAAGCACACTGTCAGAAGGAGATTAAAGTGGTGTGAATTCAGGCTGACCTCTTATGCTTCACAGCTCCTGCCAACAGCTTTGCCTGGGAGAACTTGGTCTTGGTTTCTGTGGGTTTCACAGCCACTTTCTTCTCCACTTCCTTCTTGTTTTCTTGAGAAATTCCAACCTTGTTGAGATTACTGTGAGTTACAGGTTAAGGGTCAAACTAAACAAAAAGAAGAGCTACAGCAGGACAATGATAAATCAAGAGATGGAAGGCAGATGTAACCCGTGAGCACTTCAGCTCTGCCATGGAATGTTCAACCTACTTATTTTAAAAATGCCCTCCCCTCCTTATTCTGCCAGTCAAATCCAGCTGATTTAAAAAGAAATGAAGGGACTTCCCTGGTGGTCCAGTGGTTAAGACTCTGCACTCCCAATGCAGGGGACCCGGGTTCGATCCCTCGTCAGGGAACCAGATCCTGTATGCCGCAACTAAGACCCGGCACAGCCAAAAAAATAAATACATTTTTTAAAAATAAATAAAGGTGACTAGGAGGAAAACAGCAAATCAAGCCCAAAATAATACAGAGAAGCAAACTTTTTCCCTTTGATTCTCAATGAAAATCTGAGTACGGCCAGAAAACCTGCTATTACCAAAGACACGGCCAATATCATGCTTGCTGGAGAAAACAAAGATCTTGAAGAATGCAACAGAAAAAATGTAGCTTCCCTAAAAACATAAAAATATTTGCTTTTTCCCCCAAGGGTAAAATCACATTTTGCGGAGTGTCCTATGACTACCAGTGGCATTCAATTTTAGACATCATGAAGACTAACTCCTACTCTGCTGGTGCAAGACAACATCAGAATCACCTTAAGGCTCATTAAAAGACAGTCCCTCCCCTGTCCCAAACCTACTGAATAAGGACCTCCAGAGGCCCAGGAACCTGTTTTAAACACTCTCAAGGTGATTTAATGAGAAACCCCTGTGCATATACAACAAAACACAGGACTGAAAAGTTGTTTTAAAAGCATAAAACAACCAGTTCACTTGTAACATACTTTTTTCATGCTCGATGTCAATCTCTGGCCCTCAAGCTTTGCCAGTTTCTTTTCTTCTCTCCATCAACCCCCTCCCCTCCTTCCTTTTCATGCTTTCCCACAACATATCAATCAACAGATAAGTACTGAAACATGTATTGGAACATCTTAAGATGCAGTAATGCCTTGCTGGAACAATAGTGACATCTAGTGCCCAAGATATCTAAGAAGTATGTATTATCAGCCCAAAGGGGTGGGGGTAGGGGTATATGGTCTAAGCTATTCCTGCATCTTTGAATAATGGAGAAATTGGGTACCAGAAATTAGGAAATTCTAATTCTGATCACTCTTCAGACACTAACTTGATTCTTATGGGCATCAGTTATCTTAAACATTTGTAATATTCAATACAGATTATGCATAATGCTCAGTACTATTCTGAGTTTCATCAATTTAATGTTTTTAAGGTCATCATGGAAACTGATGTTAATACTAAATGTTCATTTTTTTAGAATAAAATTTCATCTTTCTAGTACAGAATACCAAAAACAATGAGCATGCTGTGATTTTTACCTACAACTCTATCACTAAAGGATAGAAACTCTCAAAGAAAATTCTTAATATTAAATATTGAAAAATAAAACAAAAATGGAAAAAATATAACAAAACCACACATTTATAATACCAAGACAAAGACAAAAACCAACACTTAACTTTCTATTCTTTTGAAGTGAAGAAAAGGCCTCAACCTCTTCTTTTTTGGTGGGCAGGAAGGGTAGTGGTAGTTATATTTTTGATCCATATCCAAAGCATAAGCCCTTTTTTCCCCTAAGTCCCCCTCCCCCTAAAATGCTTTAAATACACAAACACATCTCAAAAACCTCATGGAATGCATTAGATGAGCATTTTTTAAAAAATCACATTGTTTTAAAACACACATAATATTAATAAATACTGCTCTAACCTGAAAGAAACAAGAGTTCTGTTGTTTGTACTGGCAAAAACCATAGCTTATTTGTATTCACAAGTATCACATTACAAAATGTATCATTTTATAGCAACCAAGCAAAGCCAAGAACCAGCTCCTGATTTAGAGCTTCAATAAACAAATGTCTAATCCTTCAACTCCTATTTCAACATGACTCTGGCTACATGCATGCTTGGGATTAGCACATCAGTGGGTTGGAAGGCTTGCTTTGCTTCAGTTTTTCTAGACAGTCAGAACGTTCCAAGTTTCCAATAAAAACTAATACCCTGGGCTTCCCTGGTGGCTCAGTGGTTAAGAATCCACCTGCCAATGCAGGGGACATGGGTTCGAGTTCTGGTCCGGGAGGATCCCACATGCCGCAAAGCAACTAAGCCCGTGCGCCACAACTACTAAGCCTGCGCACCTAGAGCCCGTGCTCCGCAACAAGAGAAGCCACCGTGATGAGAAGCCCCCATTCTCTGCAACTAGAGAAAGTCCGCGCACAGCAACGAAGACCCAACACAGTCAAAGATAAAAATAAACAAAATAAATTTATATATATATATATAAAGCTAATACCCCTGAAGCCTCTTCAATATTGTGCTGTAAGTTACCAGGACAGAAAAGTATCTTTTGCCTCATGGCTGCCCTGTTCATTCTTCTCTTTGAATTGAAAACCAAAAGGCCTCTCACACTCATACCACACCAACAATACTCTCCAAAATGCTGCTTTGGGAGACACTCTGTCTTATTTGCTTGCCTACCAAATTAAGCACATGAAACAAGACATAATTCAAATGAGAGTGTAATTAATATATTTTTCTTTAGAGGAAAAAGCCAGGTGCCTGAAACAGTGCAATACATATATCTGCCCATCTCAGATATATCAATGCATAATATCATCCTGGGTTCACCACGGAACAGAGTTCGGGAGGGAAGCTTCAGAAAAATCAAGCTCAATCCTACAGTTGGGATGGAGGTGTGACTTTCCATCAACTCCTATCTTACTTAGTGTATACCAGAATTCCACTAGAAGAACTGGGACTTGAAGCCAGGTCTTTCGCTACCAGTTCAGAGCAGATTTTGCAGCACTGTGCTGCCACCTTATCTCGATCACGGTCAGTCACCTTGTCTTAAACCAAATCCCTGGGAATCTGTCCACATTTTTTCCTACATAACTTTTTAATGGAACCTACTGCACACTCTCTGCAACAAATACCAATTAGCACATACACACAGTCATATCATCAATCTTGGAGGTAAAGTCTGCTCAGTCACACTAGTGAGCTTATTCAACATACAAGCATGAAATACTCAAATTAGCTTTCTCACAGAAGGAAAAAGCTAAGGTGGCCCTTTTAACCTCTCCTATGAGTCATTCACTAATATATTCACATATATACTAAGAACTTATACGCCATGCACTGGAGAATTCAGTGGTGATCAAGTCCTTGTTCTTATGGAGCTTACTTTATATTCCAGCAATAAAGAACAACACAAACCAGTAAGCATATAAATTAAGATTTTCAGGTAGTGACAGAGACCATTAAAAAAATGACATTATAGGGCTTCCCTGGTGGCGCAATGGTTGAGAGTTCGCCTGCCGATGCAGGGGACACGGGTTCGTGCCCCGGTCTGGGAAGATCCCACATGCCGCGGAGCGGCTGGGCCCGTGAGCCATGGCCACTGAGCCTGTGTATCCGGAGCCTGTGCTCCACAACGGGAGAGGCCACAACAGTGAGAGGCCCAGGTACCGCAAAAAAAAAAAAAATGACATTATAGTCAGTGATGGGGGTGGGTACAATTTTAGATGGGGTGCTCTATGAGTAATGGAGCTGAGACCCAAGTGTCATGAAATGCCAGCCTTGTAAACTCTGAGGGCAGAGCATTCCAGGCTGAGGAAATAGAAAATGCCTCACAGAGCTCAGTATGAGAGGAACATAAGGCAGGCCAGTAGGCTGGAGTATAGTAAACAGGAGGAAGAGTAGTTCAAGATACAACAGGGTGGTGGGTTGGCCGAAATCATGCAGAGCCTTGTAGGACCTGGTAAAGAACGCAGACTTAAGACTAAATGCAACAGGAAGCCACTAGTGTTTCAAACAGGAAAGTGATATGATCCCACATGTTTTCAAAAGTTCCCCAGACTATTGTCTAGAGACTGGATTGTGGGGGGAGGAGTGCAGAAGCAGAGACAATTAGATGGTCACAGTAGTCCAGAGGAGGTCTACGATGACTGCAGTGGCAGCAGAGAAAGCAAGAAATGCAAGATTTGGAGTACATTTTGGAGGTAGTTTTTGGCCCAGGCACCTGGGGGTATAGGAGTACCATTACTGAGATTGGGAAGACCAGAAAAGAAGAGATTGGGAGTATGGGGGCGGCGGGGGGGGAGGTGATGTGATGAGGATCGGGGTAATGAGACACGAAATTGAGAATTTTGATTCAGCCAAGTTACATTTGGGATGTCTATTAAGACATTCAAGTGGATGCCAAAAAGGCAATAGTGAACCAAAGCAAAGTTCTCTTGGATGCTTTCTCTACCCACCTATAGGGACAAACCAGGCTGTATCTGTAGGGAAGGTCTTACTAAGGACACAGGAGGGCTGCTAAACATTTCCTTTTAAAACGTAGAAGCCAGTTTCTCCCCTGGATGAGGTTCACTGCATCACCCACCTGTTTCAGAGTCTAATCCCACAAGGCAAGAATACCCTGGTACTGACTATTAGGATTTAGGCCTTTAGTTAATCCTAAAGGATCTGGACTTTTGATTGCGACAGATTCCTGCACGCAACATAACTCTACATATCATTACCAGTTATTCAGAGTCCTAGGAACATTAGTGTTGAAAGGGAACTAGAGATCACCAGGCAGAAGACCCTCATTCTACTTATGAAGAAACTAAAATGCATAGATGTTGATGAAAAACTGACACCTTATACATGCCTAACAAAGTACAAAGGATATTCTGTATTCCTTCAGTTCTTTCAGTTCTTCTTCTCTTCGCTGCTTTTCTATTAGTTCCTGCTGCCGAGAAACCTCATCAAGGAAGTTGGTCTCATCTTCGTCTAAACCTCTTACCATGTTTTCTGAGGAAATAATTAAATAAGGAACACTTAACAGGCTAAAGGAAAAATATAGTCAAATAAGAATTTTCCTTGTCCTATTTTAAAATAAATAGCAGATACTTCAGGGGATTAGAAAAAAGAATTTGTAAACAGCAAAGCTTTTGGATAGATAACATGACATAAAATCAAGGCATCTCTCCCATTACTAGATATTAGCATAAATTAAAATGGGTATCTTGAGTTCTAAACAAAAATGTTCAGTGTGGTCTAGATGGTAGAAAGTTGTCTCTTTTCCACCAAATGAGCATCTAAAGACAATTTTATCTAAAGATAATCAAGACAATTTCATGGCTGGTTAGTAAAAGTGTTGCACAGGGCAAAAGTGCACCAAAAAGGCCCTGCAGAGTCCCTTGGACACTGTGTTTTCTGAAGCTTACTGAATTTGAACTGTTCTTCATACTCCTGCTGCTTCCTATCTTTCTGTTCCTGTAGTCTTTCATACAGAGACCGAGGGTCATAAACCTCCTCTGGGCATTCTGAAAGAAAGGGAGGGGACAAATACATACTTTAGAATCCTTTCATATTATTTTGGAATCACAAAGGATTTTAAAGATAAAGTCAAGTCTCTGCATGATCTGAGGGCAAAGATAACACAAAAATAGTACAAAGTCCACAGCTTCCCTTTGGACCTCAGAGAGGGGCCAGCAGTTCTCAAAGCCAACTATCAATGTTAATAGGGCCCATGGCCTGAGACAGTTAACTGGATGAGGGATCCACCCAAACCCTGCAGGGTAGCAGCATTCTCAGCTGTTCAGATCCTGGATCCACCTGAATAGATGGAATAGACTAGCAGAATCTCCTGGAAGACAGTGTGGCAGAGTGGAAAGGACAAAGACGTGAGGACCCTGGTTCTGCTCCCAGCTATGGAGGCCTTACATAGGTCCCTTGAGCCTCATTTTCTCTACTCTAAAGTGAAGACATTAATACCCACTTTGCAGGGTTGTAAGGATTAAAGGTCTACAAGCCTCTATACCTTCTGGATCTTCAGGTTTTCGAACTTTCTCCCATTCTTCTTGCCTCCTTTTGCGCCGTTCATCTAATTCTGCCTCAGACACAAACCTCTTTTTGATAACAAGGTTACCATCATCCCCTCCATCCATAATGGAACAATCAGTCTACAGAAAAAAAACAAAAAACAAAAAAACCATTTCAAGTGAGAACTGCAATTAAAATTCTAAAGAGAAACAAGAAGATTGAGCTCTGTCTCCCCCAGCAACAGACTACCTCAAAACTCCTTTCAGCCTTGAATTGAGAAATCCTCAAGCAGTTTAATTTACAGGTCATTGATGAAAGCACATGATTACATTTTCCTAATGTACCAAGTAGTTTTATCAACATCTATGTTATTTACAAACTCAGCAGAGGACCCGGAATAATTCTCATGATATGCCACAGTAAATCTTACATTCCAGATTTTTCTCTGTCCCTCTAATATAGACAAATTGGCCTCCTGGGCACCCTGACATTGTTCCTTCTCGAAATTCCTGTTTCAGGGATATTACACCACCTTGATTCACCTGTTTTTATTTCCAAGTAGATTCCAAAAGGAGAAACTCGGATATTCAAGGAGCCTTAGAGATGAGTCTAGTCCATTCAGCAGAGAAGTGATATGCCTAGAGGCACACAGACCACGAGTGGAGAAAGTAAGACTAGAAGAACCCAGATCTCCCCACTTCAGGTTCCATGTCCTCTGTACTCTACTAAAATGACTCCTCTTTCATCTCTTCCTGACCTTCCTCCCTGTAAACTCCAAATCTGCCCCACTTTAGATTCTATCTTCCATCCTTCTTTTTTCTCATTCCCACAATGACCTCAACCACTTTACGCACTTTAGGCCCAGAGAAGTTAGGTCACTTGTCTAAGGTGATAAAGGTGGTGAATGGTGGAGCTCAGAATCAAATCCAGGCCTGAGAGCAAAAATTCATACTCTTACCCACTTCACCATACCCCTTCCCAGAAACCAGGGATCCTCCTTGAGAAGGACATGTCAATTTCAGCTTTCTTCCTACATCAAATTCCAGTGCTGAGAATGTTCATGAAACATTTTTCTCTAGTAAAGATGAAAATGGAAACTGAGAAAATAAATCCAAACATGCAGAACAAAAGAATAGTCTCCGCCTAAATTCTACTGTTGAAGTTTAGTTCAACGAAACAACGAGAAAATTTTTAAATTTACTAGAAAGAAAACCAAATCAATTGACAGAAGCTGTTGTTCCCACCTAAAGCCCACAACCTGGGCACTTTTGATTTAGGATTACTTAGCATTTGATTTCGCATTACAGACAGAATTGTGCTGTCTTTGTGACCATGCCAAAAATTCCTCAAGTTCTGCATAATGACCTCTTATGGAACAAGAGCCAACATTTTCTTAAATCTCTCTGGCAGAGAAAACATCAACTATGTAGAACTCTAATGGATGGGGGAGACATATTGGGCCCTCAATGTCCCCTTTCTTAGCTGTAGCTCTCCTTTCTCACCCTAAATTGGCTGTCCTCTCACCCTTATTTCCTGGTAAATAATTCAGAGTGCAATGGGTCCTTATAGCCCACCTCAAACAATTCTCTATCTGACAGCAGAACCCACCATCCATACCCAGGAGATTTTCATCCAACCCATATTTTAAAACTGTATTCCCTTCCAGGCAGCTGACTCTCTCTGAGCAGATCTGACTAGTAGGATAGTTCTTCCTTAAACTGAACTGAAATCTGTCTCCCTATAAATTCCACACACAGGTTCAATCCACTGGGACTACACAAAAGGAGCCAAATCCCTTTTTCAACATGACAATGCTGCAGTTGTTTGAAGACAACTGCCATTTTCCTCCTAATTTGTCGCTTTTCTAAGTCAAACATTTCTAGTTCCTTCAATCTTATAAAATAGAGGAAAAAGTGTCTCAAAGCAGTGAACTTAACGAATTGCATATGATTTAAACCTGGTAAATAAATTTTAGGATATGGTAATGCAACTGGTATGCCATTAAATGCATCTCTTCACTCTCGTTACACTTAAAAAATGAAAATATCAATACTGAAAGAACTCTTCTAAAAGGCCAAAATAAAAACCTAGAATCTTACATGCTTCCATCTAAATAAGAATTCAGAGACTCTTAAGATTATTCTTATAATGTAAAATTAAGGAAGTAAAACCATTTATTTAATTTTCATAGCCTGTTGAGTTTTTGGAAAAAGAAGAACCTACCTTCATTTAACTTTAACAAAGATCCCTGAAACTCAAGGGACAGAGCTTTTAGGATACATGTAAACAAGCCTTTAGGATACATGTAAACAAGGGTTGGAATTTGAAACGGAAACTCTAGAAAAATAAGAATCTTCCCAACATTTATCAATTACTTTTGGGAAAAGACAAATTTATGGGATTCCAAGACATTCTTACTCTCCTTTTCATCAATCTTTTTCTCAAAAGTGTTAGAATTCGGGACTTCCCTGGTGGCGCAGTGGTTAAGAATCCGCCTGCCAAGGCAGGGGACATGGGTCAGATCCCTGGTCCGGGAAGATCCCACATGCCATGGAGCAACTAAGTCCGTGTGCCATAACTACTGAGCCCAAATGCCACAACTACTGAAGCCCGCACGCCTAGAGCCCATGCTCTGCAACAAGAGAAGCCACTGCAATGAGAAGCCCGCGCACCTCAACGAAGAGCAGCCCCCGCTCACCGCAACTAGAGAAAGCCTGAGCACAGCAACAAAGACCCAACACAGCCAATAAATAAATAAATAAATAAATAAATAAATAATTTTTTTAAAAAAGAGTTAGAATTCAATTTCTACCCAAAGAGTTTAGCCTGTGCTATTTTCCCATCTTTCACAATTAAGGACAAAATCAAGGATCACCGTTGGCTAATGAAAATGAAAACAAGGCAGAAACACGTCAAAAAAAGGAAATTTAAAGACAATGGATTTAGAATTTGACAGAGAAACTCTACTTCTCTCAAAGGGTTGATTTCCTGAGAAAACACTCACACAGTAAAAACTAATGAACACTTGTAAAAAATCTGTTCTTTATTTTATTTTTTAAATAAATTTATTTATTTAGTTAGTAGCTTGTGGGCTCCAGAGCACAGGCTCAATAGTTGTGGTGCACAGGCTTAGTTGCTCCGTGGCATGTGGGATCTTCCCAGACCAAGGCTCAAACCGGTGTCCCCTACATTGGCAGGCAGGTTCTTAACCACTGCGCCACCAGGGAAGTCCAAAACTCTATTCTTTAAAGCTAATATAATCCTGACATTCCCTCATTCCCAAAATAAAACTAGATGGACACACCTAATTATAATAAATTTCTGTGAGTTTAAAAGGGCCAAGACTAAACCATAGACTGCTTTATCCATCTCTTTCTTCAATTTGCACATCTTCTGTAGGTCCTCATTCCCTGGCACTTCAACTACTGTTGTTCCCTTCTTGCTTTCAATGCCACCAGCGGCCCTCTGGCTAATTAATTTTTATATTAGGAGAGGTTAAAGTACAGAAAATGTTCATGAATAAGTGGTCATACTCCTGAGTATTCTGGATAATATTCAGAATTTTTCTTCTCCAGAAATATTCAGGTCTTTTCAGAATTCAAAACTTCATTGTCAATAAATATTGCCAAGAAGTCAGCTTAACTTCAGACACCTTTCACTACAACCTAATCTAATTCAACCAATATATAACAAATACCTTCTGTTGCAGTCTCCTTACAAGAGGTAATGATACAGGTAATGATGAAGACTATAGACTCTGACCTCAAGAGACCTCGGTTCTGCCACTTATAAGTTGTATGATCCTGGACAAGTCACTTAACTCCTCTGAGCCTTAGTTTCCCAATCCACAGATTGCACTCACCAATGGGGATTAAAATAGTACTGCACAACTTATAAAGCTTTTGTGAGGATAACAAGAGAATTTATGTAAAGCACTTAGCACAGTTTTTGGCACCTGCTTAAAAATGATTTGAAAGGTTTGCCATTACTACAAAGTGCTATGCTAAGCTCTGGTTATGGGAGTGAGAGAAATACTGTCTGCACTCAAGAAGTGCAGGAGAAATAAATCAGTGACATAAACAACCATGATATGTGAAGTGGGAAAGGGACCACAACAGAGACTAGGGAAAACGTACATGTATACATATTTGGTAATTCTAAATTTCCCCTTTACTGTGGTTCTCTTTTACTGTTTTATTTAATTCAATTTAAATAAACTCAACATTGTGCTGAATGCTGAACTGTGTCCAGCACTGTGCCAAATTCTATGGGGTGATAAAGAAAATAAACTTTAAGAGTTAGTACTCTTGCACTAGTTAATACCAGATAATAGTGTATGTAATGAATTACCAAAGTGAACAGTACAGGTAGGAGGCAGTAATGAAGGGCACAAATATGGATCAATCAAGTTTCCCAGGCTGAAAACCTGGGAATATATCTAGACTCCTTTTTCCTTTTTCCCTTATATGCCACCAGTCTCTAAGTTCTGTTATTTCTACCTCATAATGATCTCTTTCTAATTCATCCTCTCCTTTAAGAGTCCCTTCCTTTCTAAACTCTTCTTTTCAGGGCCTCATCTTGCATAAACTACTGCAAGAGCATTCCATTAGTCTCCCTGTTTCTCCTCTGGCCCCCATTCCAGCTATTTATTACTCTACTATAGCACTTACCCATTATGTTTTATCATTTATGACTATTCCAACAGCTCTTTTTATTCACAGTGCTTATTAGCACAGTGTCTGCCATACATTAAATATAAAGACATACTTATTGAATAAACCAGCCATGGAGAGGATTTGAAGAATTTGAGCAGGGAGGAATGCTCTCACATGAATATTCTTAGATACTGTCCAATGTAAATTATAGAAAATGGTAGTCATTAAACAAATATTCACCAAAGCGTCTTTGTCCCATAGGGAATTCTATTCAAACACTATACAACTTGTGCAATAGGAAACACAAGACCAAAGATTACATCACGTTACTATATTAGATAACTGACGTCTTCTTCAAGAATAACTCTTGTGGGACTTCCCTGGTGGTGCAGTGGTTAAGAATCTGCCTGCCGATGCAGGGGACATGGGTTTGAGCCCTGATCTGGGAAGATCCCACATGCCACGGAGCAACTAAGCCCATACAC